TCAGCTGGTGAATGAGATACTGGATTAAAACTCTGGATCTTTGCCACACAAATATTTCCCAAATACATTTTTTTACCGCCTGTGTTTGGGAAAATTGGGGTAAAATTGCAGTAGAAATGTAAAAAAATGTTCCAGTCTTTTCTAAAGTCGTCTCATGCCAAAAAGACGAAACAGCTTTCCAATTTATTTCTCGCTGTAGCGGCAAAAAGCTGTGTTGCAGTTTTTTTATAAACTGATTTCTTGACCCTGCATCTGTTTCCACTCCTTCAATTCAACCCTCCTATGAATCTGTGCAGGTAGGTGGTTGAATCAGGCCCGTAGCCTGAGTGGAGTTCACTCAGAGCTTGGGATGCTGGAATAGACACTTTCACACATTTCCATCCACTGACTGATCAAATATCAGCCAACTGTAATTTGCCCGATTAGCAGCTTGATTCGGCTAAAATGGAGCTTCTGTTGTTCTCTCAGCTCAGTTTTTTCCCGGTGCGTTCACGGTGTGGCGCCGGTCTGTTGACACAGCTGGTGTGACGTGTGCACGCCCGGCAGAGTCGTGCACGGCCGGCTGCGCTAGGTGAGCCGGGGCAGTCTTTGCCGTGGTGACAGACACACAGATTGGTGCCATGTTGACAATGCTAGCTGCTCCAATGCATCTGGTAAAACTGAGCTGCTGCACATTCAGGGGGAGCAATTTCATGGGCCGGAGCAGACTTTAAATAAACAGCAGTATAGAGCAACAAAGGACGCTCCGCTTGAATAAAAACAAGAGAAATGCTTTAATTAAATGTTAGATTAAGATTTTTTCTTCTTGTTGCGAGCAAAAATAAAGTTTTTTCCTGTGGTCTTTTAGCAGATCCCCTGAAGGACTCTATCTTCACACTCAGGTTTGAGCACAGAACTCACTTTGTTGTTGTTGAGAGAAACAAGCCCCTCAGAACTCCGAACCTCTGTTCAATTGCAGGGTCCACGAACAAGGACGGCTCGGTAAATTCCCCGACGGGGGGCTAGAAAGAAAAGAGCCAAAGAATCCACGGCCACCAGACTCAGCGTTAACAGGTGGGTGTGATATGAGGAGCAGAATAAGAATCCACTTTGAGTTAAAGAGAGGAAGCATGGCTGTGATTGTGGTCCGCAGGAGGAAGCTCACATGCAGATGAAACGCCCCCTCAGCAGGAGGAAAATGGGCAAAAACAGCAGACCAAGCCGGAGGACAAGGAAGGGGACCTGAAAGCTCCGGTGGAGCTGATGATGAAGGTAGACGGGCTCACGTCCATTCCTAAAGCTCTTTAGCCTTCGTGTAACTCACAAGTAAACGTCTGGTTTCAGTTCCTCAAAGCTCTGGTGGACAAGGAATTCGAGCTGGCCAGCAGACTGTGTCAGATGAGTACGTATCCATGCCTGTGCGTGGCAGAACGCGGCCCGGGCTGAAACCACTCAGCTCTGCCTCTTCTCTCACCTTCCAGTCCTCATCTACGAGCCCCACAACCCCGAGGCCTCCCAGTTCCTCCCGCTGATCCGGAGGAAGCTGCTGGAAGGTGAGCGGCCTTTCTCTGAAAACACACTGTTTTTTTTTGGTGTTTTCTTTTTTGCTGCGTAGGATCTCTGAGCTTTTTTTCCAACCTTTGCCTTGTTAGAGTCAGAGCAGAGCGACGAGGAGGATGGAGAGCGAGACGACGACGACTCGGACTCCTCTTCATCTTGCTCTTCGTCCTCATCGGATGACAATAACGAAGAGGATGAGGATGAGGATGATGGCAGCACACACAAGCCATGCCCTCCTTCTTAGACTTAGACCTAGACTGAACTTTATTGATCCCTTGGGAAGACTCCCTCAGGAAATTAAGGTTACCAGAAGATACTGGAGAGGCAGTCGTCTACACAGCGCCAGAATCCATTTTTCTTCAGAAACAAAAAGAATACATTGGGAAAGCGGTTGCGGGAAGAGGGAAAAAAAGGCCCAGTGCCACGCCCCCTACAGGGGACGTAACAGTGATATAAAAAAAGAACTTCAATACACTGAAGCACAAATAGAGTCAAATCACAACATCAACGACACATAGGGAGGGAGGGATGGGGGGGTTTGAAGGAGGGGGAAAGGTAACAGCGAGGCAGTGAGTCCAAGGAATGCATGAAGTCTGTATTTGTGTGTGTGTAAGTGTAAGCAAGCTGGAGTCCACATCCACAGGCGAGATGGAATTTGTCCTTGTGATGCCCATACTCCTGCTTGGGAGGAGGGAGGGGGTGGGGTGGGCAAAGCGTCCGTCTGCAGTTTCATCCAGGGCAAGTTTGCAGAGTAGAAGCTGCAAGGCCGCTCTGGGGAGGCCAGATTGAGATAAGAGAGATAGCTTTGTTCCAGACAGAGCGTGTTTTGTCTGTCTTAAGTCCTCAGCCGGTCTCTCAATGGCGATCAATTCAGCCGAATTGTGTTAATTTCCATCCATCCGAACCACCAACTTCTCCAAGGTGTTCCCCATCACCCTCATGCTGTCAGGCATCGTCCCCATTTTGCTGCTATGGGCCTCCTGACTGCTCCACTGAGTCTCCAGTTTGCTCACCAGAGCATCATGTTTGCGAGACAACTCGCACAAGATTTGAGTCAGAGTGTTGATGGCCCGGTAAACCGGCTCGACAGGCAGCGTGCCACCAGTTGCCATCAGCCTCCGAATTTCTCGAAAACCTAGGTATCCACCAACTCCAATCAGCAGGAACCCGGTTATCATGAATCCAAATAGGTATAGGTCCTCGACGTCCTCCACGGAGAGAACTGAAAGGCATAAAACCCTCCAGCTCTTCCAGGCATCCATCGTGTAACCCGCAGGGTGAGTCCCGGCTGGACAAGTTGCAGCCCCTGCAGCTTGTCTTTGGGTAGAGAAGATTTTGTCAATTGCGTTGAGAGACCAGCCTACGAAATCCATGGTTGATGTTAGGCTTTAGGAAGTAAAAATGCAGAGAGAGGCTCTGAGATACAACAGGACAGAGATAGCAAGCAGGCAACAAGGGCAGGGGACGGAGCAGAGAGAAACACGTCTGCACTCGCCGAGAGCAGGAAGAAAATATCGGCCTAAAGCTATAGTATCGTAGGTTCACCTTAATCTTGTTGCTGTTTGAATTTTTATCCATAAGGCTTCTACCCATAGCTGAGGGGTGGACAGAATAAGAATTACATTTGTTTTCTCCCCCGAAAATTAAAGCTTGACTCTAACTTCGTCCTTCATGATTTCTAAAGTTTTGAGTGCAAGCTCATTATAAACCGGCCACGTTTGTCCTTAACCAATAACAACACACACACATCATGTGCCCTCTCCTCTTTACAGAATTGGCTCAGTGCCTTAAAGTTTGCGGTATCGCTCAGGGCTCGGCTCTCTTCAGAGGTCAGAGGGCAGGTTTGATGTCTGGACTGTGACTGGTTCAGTAAAACAGCTTGATCCTTTTGTTTTTTTTACTCTTGATGATGGGTTTATGACGGAGTCCTGATCTGTCCTTCTGGCCTTTGTGGACTTGGCGTGAGCTGTGTGTTTTTTGTCTACGATTTAGGTTTTGTAGATTTGTATCCAGATCGAGTTATTAGCCTCTGTTTTCCTGAGCGTCTCCTCAGTTTTTCTCCACATGTTCTGTCTAATCCTGGTATCTTGCGATCCATTCCCTGTGTTTCCATGTGTCTCCACCACCTCCATTCTGGACCCTTAGTTACCTCTGGCTTCCTGCATCAGTTCAACTCTGTCTACCTGTGCTTTCTCACCAGCTCTTCATCCCACTAATCTACTCTTTGCTTGTTGGATGCTTCTCAGTTATTTCATTCTTGAATGCAGAACTCCTGATAGTTTGAAAATGGTCTCATAACTCACCCAGGATTGAGTGTATATCTCTAACACCATGGCTGATGTCTTTCCTCCTTTTCCTCCTTGGCAACATGATGTGTCTCATTTTAAGATCTGATGAAATCATTCTGTTTTCGTTAAGTGTCTTTAAAATCCTTTGAATAGTTACACAATTGAATTTTTTACATTTTATGTAACACTGAAGCAATGAGCATGTTTTCAAAAAGGTTTCAACAGGATATAAAGATGCAGAGGCACAGCATCTGTAGCATCAATAGTGTGCTTATGTATCCTTCTATTTTATGGCTGCTATCTTGATTAATCCAAAATATTTACTCCTCATTCTTTTGAGGATTTCTGGCATCAAAGCTTTGGCCGGTGATCTTTAGTCATTCCATTATCCCACCGAAACCCTCTTACATTGGTGCAATGACTTCAAAATGGATGATCTGTTACATCACTTTTGACAAGAAGTGTCCCTTTAAGAGTGGCATTTCCATCAGGAATTGTTCAGCCAGACACACCCGCACAAAGTGGCTGAAACTTAAAAGATATTTTCTCGCTCCAGAACAAGTCGAACTTGCTTTCCGTGCACCTGTTCATACAGTGTCTCCAGCTCCCTCACGACTTGGGTAACAGACAATGAGCGGACTGTAAAGCTCGGCTAATCTCCTGCAGCTGAATGCACATAATGGCCGGCGTCCCTCTGAATGCGACGGGACCGAGCAGGAGGATGATGAGAGGCCTGTGTAAATACCCACAGGGGTGGCTCCCCTTTGATATCTCACCGTAATTATCTGTCACGGGCATGAGGGTTCAGATCAAAAAGCACGATGGATGAAAAGTAGCCATAAACAGAGGTGAACATTAGAGGCCCTGCTTGTATGGACGGATTGTGCGTCTCCCTCTTCCTATTCATGCATTCACTACAAATGTCTCTGTTCTGAGCCCAACAAAAAGCCCCTTACAGAGTTTCCACAGGTCCTTGCGGCAGAAGATAAAGAGATCGGTTGATACTCATGAGTGTCGTCCCCAAATCTCTCCATTCAGCTGTCATTTTCTCAAGGTCAGCCTCTATGGCAACAAATCACACTGTCATCCACCACCGCCATCCCAGGGACGCCCACCCACACCTGGAGGCACGCTCACAGATGTGGGGACGTCACCGACGCTTTTTATCCAACCTTTTCTTTCTCGTTTCTTAATCGCTGGCATCTTTAAGTGAATTGTGTCTGTCAGTGGGTAACAGGGAGGAGTCGACAGAAGGGAAGCAACGCCAGTGACTCATGCCTGCGTGAAGAGACCAATGGGCTGCACGGAGCCTGAGATATAAATAACGAATACAAATATTCTTGGGGGAGAAATGTTCACTTGCGCACCGCTGGATGAGGATTTTTCCTTGTAGTGCGCTCTGCTGCTCCTCTGCCTGGACTGTTTCTTGTAGCACCCTTGGGTGGGCAATTTGCAGAATTTGAGAGTTTTTTTTCCTGCAGCCGACAACCTGTGAGCCGGTAAGACTGGTTCTCCTTCCATTCATTCATTCATTCATTTCGGCGGCACATAGCTATCGATTGGCCTCTCATTTCGCGTGCGTAATGGCTTAACTGGCAGACGCTATACGTTACGTTTTCATAGAAAATATTGTCATTAGAAGAAAATAATTGTGATTTTTTTTAAATAGTTATTTCTGGATGAATGACAAGGTGAATTCATACCATTTATATCGTGATTACTTGTTAGGTAATATACTGAATAGCAATAGGTGAAAGTTTTTTTTCTAAATATCAAAAAAATGGCCTCGTGTAGACATGTATTTAATCTTTAGAAATAGAAACGGTTGATATATATGTAGAAATGTCAACTGGTTCCAGAGCTGGGAATGATCACAAATCAAATATCTTGTAGGTCGTGTGATGCCTCAAAGTGATTTGGAATAAAAACGGGTAATTTGGTCCTTTTTTGTAAAAAAAACAAAAAACAAAACAAAACAATTAATTTGAACAAATCTGAATATCAAGCAGTTCACCTTAATGCATGCCCCCATTTTTTGCAGATAATTATGTCACATTCACTGGCACCGATGGAATTTTATGACTAAATGGCAGATTTTTTTTCCGAATCAATGTTTTTACTTGGATTTGACATTATCTCCGAAATCAGGGATTGGGAGAAGCTTTGCGTCGTGCGCAGTCCGGTGGGTCTTTTGCCCACGCGCCCGTCCTCCGGGAACGAGTCCCTCCTGTGCCACGCGCGCAGACTAACACCCAAACTGAATGCCGTTACTCAAAATGCGCGTTTTTGTTTTTGCTGTCTGGGTCGGAAAGCGCGTGCGTGCAGCCTGTCATAACGCTAGACCTTTTTTTTTTTTTTTTTGCTGTTGTTGTTCTTTGCAGGTGAATCACTCCCCGGCTGGAGATTAAAAACAAAAAACAGAAGAAGCCATGGCCGCGTCTGAACCCAGAGCCACCGGGACCGAGCAGGACCCGAACGCGGCTGATTTCAGACCTCCGTCCTCAAGTAGGTCCTCACTCTTCTCCTGTGAAGCTGCTGTCGCCTCACGAGGAATGCGCATCCAGAACACACCTCCCCTTTTTCTGGCTATTAATGCCTTGCTAAAAGACACTTCTGCAGTTTGATCTACTGCCAGCACAAAGGGTTTAAACCCAGTTCAGCCCCTCTTTCAGCCTCCGCCGTCCTCTCTCTGTCTCTGTCTCTCTCTCTCTCTTTCTCGCTCCCTCTCTCTCTCCCTCCGCGTGTCTGTGCCCTCCCTCCGTGTCTGATGGCAGCAGTCTAGCCGGGCCATTTGCTGTGTGGGCTCCGTCGTTAATCATTCCGGTTAAAAACAGAGCCATCACAGCTGCCCGCCGCTGTCTGGGGGCTGAGCGGCGCGCGCTGCGCAGCCGGCCCGGCTCCAAAAGGCTCAATGTTAGGGAATCAGAGACAAAACGGGCCCGTGGGCTGGTTCATGCCCCCAAAACCCCCTTTATTACAATTATTTCAATGACTATTTCCCAAGAAAAATGTCAAAAAAAAAATATTTTATTCTTTCACACACGGGGGTGAGATCTGTTGGAATATTCGAAAATATCCCCCCTGCAAATAAAAACAATAAAAAAAAGCAATTATCAATATTTATTCGGGTAAATTACTATTCCTTAGTTTACGCATTTGGGTTCGCGTTAAAGCTTTCCTCGAAAGAAGATTTTTTCCCCCATCCTTTTAATCTTAATAGCCAACAAACTAAATGAACCTGCGGGATAATCACCCGTTGAGGCCTTTGTCGCGTGGACATTTCTCCAAATCGCCTCCATTAGAACACACTTGAGCAGCCACCTGCAACGCAACGCCGGATAATAATATAAATGCGTTTTTTCCCACCCGAGTATCTAAAAAAAAAAAGGCCCCTCGGGGGGTAATGAGCAAAGATATGTTTTCTGTTTTTATCGAAAGAAATGTCCGAGTGTGTTTTATTCGTGCCTTTTATGAGTCTTTAAAAAAAAAGAATGTATTTTAAAGTTGAATTTGCACCATGAAAATATCCATTTAAAGGAAGATGTTTGTTTTGTGTGACTTGCCCGTGCTGCTGTCGCCATTATCTCCGCCACGCTCCATCTCACGCCTGCAGGCTTGTTGTGTCCGTGCGTGTTCATGCGTGTGCGTTCGAATGTCTTTCTGTGCTGGCCTCAGGACTTCGAGCTGCCTGCCCCCCCCCCCCCCCTAACAGAGTCTGCCTCAGTAGATTGAAATGGCTGTTGTTGTTTTTGTTTGTTTGTTGAAGTTTTCCATCACCTGCCTCACGCCGCCTCGCCTCTCGACTCTTCCGCCGCGCGCACTGTCCTCGTGGCGCCCCATCTTCTGCTGTTTCATGTCTATACGCGCGCGTGTGCGTGTGGATGTGAGAGAGAGCGAGACGTGCGCCCCATAATGCGCTTCTGCTTCCAGACCACATGCATTTGCAGCACGATGCAGCCACACAGCCCTGCCGTGTTTCACTCAATTAATCCCTGCCCTCCTCCGCGAGCTCATTTCACGGGTGTTAACTCCACTCCGCCCCTTGGCTATGGGTGTGGATGTGGCTCGCGGGGGCCACAGTCGGCCCCCTATTGACTGAGCTCCAATCGGTAATGTGGCCAGACTCATCTCCCAATAATCAGAGGTATAGAGCGATAGTAAAATGGATGAATTATTGTAAAGGGAGTTGAAAAAAAAAAGAAAAACCAAAAAGAAAAAAGAAAAAAAACACGGAGAGCTTCACCTGCATGCCGCGTCACGCCTCCACGCTGTGTGCTCCATCCCCCCGCCTGTCCACGGCTCTGCGCGGCCCCGAAAACGCACGAACTCAACCGTCCGTTCTGTTTTTAGCCAACGAATACGCGTGGATGCACGGATGCACGCGGAAACTGGGGATGAAGATTTGCGGTAAGTTCCTGTGCTTGTTTTGGGAGGTATAGGTTCATCCCACGTCCACGCTGGCATCGTTCAGCTCGTTTTTCCTTTCGCGTCGTGGGGCATTTTTCTGGCCTTCTGGACAGTGATGTGGATGTGGATGCGGAGGCCCCATCCTCTGCTGTCACAAAGCCTTTCCATCTTCTAAAGGTCAGCGGACAGCAGACCGTGGAGCATCGGATCAGCCCCCCAGTGAGCCCCCTGACGCCCCCACGTCGTTTCCAATTTACGATCCAAGATTTAAAAAAAAAAATCAAAAATCAGAAACGAAAAAAAATATTTAAACAAACGGATGAATGGATTTATTCTAAATCTAAAGCATCTCTCGGATGCTCACTGCCCGTTGGCAGCTCCTGGGTTTGCAGGTGGACAGACACAAATCAGTTAAAGGCCCGCAGACATATTGCGGGTTTTTGGAGATTGATCCGCTGATTCTGATCCGGTAAAATACATTTTAATGGTGGAAAAAGGCTCCGGTGGTTGGAGAATCTGAAGCATGGATTAGGAATATGTCTGTGCGAAATACAGGACGAATTATTTCCCAGCTATTCGACTGACACGAGGCTTCTGACATGCACGTTCTGCAGAAGATTAAACCTATCTGCGGGTCTGGAAGGCCAGACTGGGCCATTCCGGGCCATTCTGGGTCATATTGGGTCATAGTGACCCGTTCCGGGCTTCTGGTTGTCCTTCGTTGAACCTCCCGTGTGGGGTGGACACTTTGCGGCTGCGTGTGGCCCTGAACGCCTCGGGCTCTCCGCTGAGGCGTTCAGGGCCTGTCGGGACCCGGTGTTCCCCGATAGGGGTGTGGCTGTGACGTCACCGCAGCCTCCCCCTTCCGCACAGAGGGAGGATTTTACGAGTACATTTGGCCTATTTAAGTCTTGTCTCCTTATAATGAGAGCATTTTGGAAGAAAGCTTTCACTCTTAACTGACTACACGGACAACAGACTTAAAAAAAAAAAACTCTCTTTTTTCCAGCGAACTTAATTATCGTTATTTTTCATCTTTTTTTTTTTAGATTTAAAAATATATATTTCTAAGCGGAATGGATGTGTTTGGGGGTAACTCCTTCTCCTCGCCGTGTAACTCTGTAGGATTCCTGCAGAAGAACAACAGCCTGGATGAGAAAGGGCGTCTCGCGGGCCAGAAGAACCTGCTCTCGTGCGACAACAGCGACAGGGACACGCGCTTCCGCCACACCGAGACCGACTTCTCCAACCTGTTCGCCAGAGGTGAGACCTGGTCCCGGTCAGACCTGGCCCGGGTCAGACCGGGCCGGACCTGCCGGTCAGCCAGCTGGTGGCCGAACCGAAATCACTCCAACCTTCCCGTAATTTCACAAAAGAGAAAAAATACCAATGGGCACAATATGTCAAATAAAATTAAAGGCAAAAATAAGGACCACTATTTTCACGCTTTCCTAATTAAGGCGTCAATTGGTAAAATTCTACTATTTTTAGTAGAAACACATTAGTTATCAGAGTAAATACGCTTTAAAATGCTTTGAAAAATTAAATAAAAAAAATAGAGATAGATAGATAGATAGATAGATAGATAGATAGATAGATAGATAGATAGATAGATAGATAGATAGATAGATAGATTATTTCATAAGAAATTCAAAGAGGTTAACTGAAAAATATCTTAATCACAAAATCAGAGGTAAATTACACCAACTGCCATTCTCAGTTCAGTAAGTTTACTTTTAAGTTTGTTTTTTTCAACTATACCTTCCACCTTGATTCTCAGACCTGCTGCCGGCCAAAAATGGAGAGGAGCCCACCATCCAGTTTCTGCTGGAGGTGGTCGACATCCTCACAAACTACGTGAAGAAAACCTTCGACCGCTCCACCAAGGTGCTGGACTTCCACCACCCCCACCAGCTCCTGGAGGGCATGGAGGGCTTCAACCTGGAGCTGTCCGACCAGCCCGAGTCCCTGGAGCAGATCCTGGTGGACTGCAGGGACACGCTCAAATACGGCGTCCGGACAGGTAAAAAACGACATCCTCAACATGCCAAAGCGTGTTTCCAGATGAGTAAGGACTATTATATTTCAAGGGGTGACATTAAAAAGAAAAACTCTCGGGCATATATTACCTTAATTACCTCTGACAAGAACAAACCTGACCCAGGCAATTATGCCACTATAAAGTCAACATCTTTATCTATTCTATGTCTATTATTGTCTATTAGGCCTCTCCTAAAGGGTGAATCCATCAAACCTCCATCTGTTTAGTGCGGCGTGGTGATGTCGACGCAACATTACCAGATAAAAAGACCATTTCCCCAGCGTGTGGGCCGCAGCCCGTTAAAGATGACCGCCTTTTTTACGCCCCCCCCCGTCGGCAATTTAGTCGACATCCTTCCTTCCTTCCTTTTCTTCCCCCCCCCCCCCGCCTTTTAAAACAAATGTCGCCTGAGGGGGATCTGAGCACGGGCTGTTTCAAGCTGTTAGAAAACCCCGACGCTCAAACTGTCCCCTGGGTGCTCCTGATCACTCAGCTGCTTCCCACCCCCGGGCAATTTCTTCCCCTCTCCGTTTGAAAACATTTCGGGGTCGAGTTAGATTTCCCCGGCTGGAGGAGCTGTCCACGGTGCTGAAAACGAAAGGGGCCCTTTGTTTCATCTGGCTATTAGCAACTGGTACTTTGTTCAATAGAACCTTACTGATTTATTTTGTAGTCATAGTGGTTATATTTCCTATGTGCATGAGACATCAGTTTATGGTGGGAGGCCTACTGTATAATGCCTCATCCACACGTTACGTATATCCATGGCTGCACGCTGGCTCCGGGCTCACCGTGGCTGTGTGTGCAGGCACCTTACCGTCTAAATGGCTGTCACATAGCTGTTGCCGCGGTAATTATGGCACGGCCAGCCTGCTGTGTCAGATCCCTCAGGTATCACGACTGGTGGAGGAAAAGAAGGGTGAAATGCGCTCTGAAATTGAGTTTTTGTCTGGATTTCGAACATCTGAACCTGCAGGTTGTTAGGGTCAACAACACTTAGAATAAACACAGGAGGCTCACGCTGTACTTTACAAAGGGGACAGTACTCTCAGACATTAGCTGTGTAGCATGAGTTGTCTCCAAAGAGTGCTTCCTCTCATGCAATGTTTATTGACACGCAATAGGCCACACAAGCAAAACGGGAAGCAAAACAGGAAGTAAAACAGGAACCCACATCGGTTTTCGAAAGAGTACATGTGAGCGGTTGCACGATAAGATAATAATGTTTTCATAACTCTTTGTATGTACTAAATGATAAGAGAGTATAAATTATAAATCAATCACGGGTCACATTTATTTTCCTGGGAATTATGATGGTTGTGTAATTTGTTTTTGTTTAAAAAAGTTCCCCTTTTTATTTAATTTTTTCATTTAGAAGGAAAAGTGGCTTATGTCTATGAAACACAATACTTTCTATTAAAAAAATCTACCTCTCCATTTTTTTAAAATTTGTTTTTGTGTGTTTTTTTTGTGTAGGCCACCCACGCTTTTTCAACCAGCTGTCTTCTGGACTGGACATCATCGGTCTGGCTGGAGAGTGGCTCACCTCCACTGCAAACACCAACATGTGAGTGACACAGTTTTCTGGAACGGGAAACGGCTCTCGGCCTGAGGGGACCGCTGAGACGTCCAGTTTCTCGGCCATTAGAAAAAAAAACGCCTCCGGACGAGATAATATTTTGGCATCGCGTGTCTCCTGTTTCCCTGAGCTCGCTCCGTCTCTGGCAGAGGCCGGTTATATAAAGTGCCTGGTTTGCCTGTAGGGGCTGTGTATTGACAGATGCCGGGCCTCCGTTTGTACTGTACTGTAAATCGGAGCCCCCCCAGCGGTGGTTAGATTGCATATTGATCTCAGGTCACACTTACATGGTGGCCCAGTCTGATAGAGGGCATGAACCACATCTGCTTCACACACCGGGAACAAAGAACGTGCATACACACCGGCTCCGTGTGTGTGCATGCTGTAAATAAGCTGCTACAATCACCGAAATAGAGTCCCAAACATCTGAGCCACAGCGGCAGGCTGAAAAAATACACGTGCACACGCCTTTGTTGGATATAGGATTGATCTGTTTTTTTAATTAGTAACAATTTCAAACCTGTGAAAAAAATCTGCTAGCTGCTCTTGATGTACCATTTTTTTCATACAATAATACATACCAATTTCATACCAATAATATGCAGCTATTTATGATGTAATTTAATATAAATTTTTGCATTTACTTGACAGGTGTATGAAATGCCTTTATCATAGAACAGAAAATGGATAAAGATGTAGAAAGGCAGACAAACAGCCTAAAGCGAAAGGTGAACCAGTTCACTTTGACGTAAAATAAAAACATCAAACTTGAATTGGGAAAAACGGCAGAAATCAAAGTTTCAGAGAAAAGTTAGCTGTGTTGACGTGTGCTAGTGAATAGGAAAGGTTAAAAAAAACAAAAAAAAAACTGAGACCCTTACTTTGTCCTGTTTCTTAAACATTAGCTCAGGAAACCACACCCTCTCGGGGGGGGGGGGGGGGACTTTCCCATCTCATCCCCGGAGACGGGGGCCATTGACTTCCCACACTCCGGGCGTAATGACACTCACACACCAGCTCTGGATGTCCCAGATACCGCGGCAAAGGTTTCCAGCCCATTGACTGCCGCCTCATTGTGAGCTGGTCTCAGCAGATAGGCCAGCTGGGCCCCCACACTGACACACAACGTCCCCGGGGCTGCGCAGAAAAAGCCGGAAAATGCCCACCCCCCCCCCCTGCCGAGAGCTCGTTCCGGCTCCATTGTCCCCCCCCCGGGGACGGCCTGACTGACTCAGGAGTCTTTTGAGGGGCTGAAAGCAGAGCGTGGTTTGGGGTCAGAGGGGTTAGTCATATAAGAGACACACTCACACACACAGACACAGGGCGCACAAAAACACACACACACACACTCACACACACACCGAGTGCCCTTGATGATGATAATAAGGGCATTTAGGGGCCGTCTCTGGAGACAGGCAGGTGACTGAGGGGTAATTTTCACCCTGAAAAGACCAAAGATTGGCTCTGATTGTGATAATGATCACCATTATTGTCATTACAGCGTAAAAATGACTCGGAGAAAAAGGAGAATTTTAAATAGGCTGGTTTTGTCCCCTTTTTTTTTAATCCTGTGGCTGGGATCTGTTTTATAAGGGAAAAGAGAGAGGGAGATGACTATCATTAGATATATTCATCTGTCCGGTGTAATACACAATTCCAGGTAATTTAGAGAGCATCAGGCCTGTAAAACCGAGATATTTTTTTTAGGTCTTTTGTATATCACAGTCAAATCCCAGAAGTCATAATTAGCATTATTGAAAGAGGCAAAGCCAATGTTTTAAATTACATCAGCACACAGTAGCCATCACAATGACTGATTTTATACCTATATAGGGAAATGTTATTTTTGCCATCCATCTTTTAAATTTGTGACTTTTTTTTGTTTCTCTTTTTCTTACCATCAGAATCAGAATCAGAATCAGAATCAGAATCAGAATCAGAATCAGAATCAGAATCAGAAATACTTTAATAATCCCAGAAGGAAATTATTTTGTTAATGGCTCCATAAATAAAACAGTGGCATATACATATATACATGTCTGTACATATATATATATACAAAATTCCTCATTTAATATAGATAGATATATACATAAAAACTATATGTATATACATAGGTCAAAATAAGTGGTGGATAATGTCAGTGATTTAGTTTGACTCTCAGAGGGAGGCGTTGTACAGAATGTTTTTGTTGCTTTTTTTCCTTCGTCTGCACGCACTGCATTGGAACCATCCATTCCTCTCCCTTTGTTACCCTCTGTCACAGCTTTCTTTTTCTTCAGCATATTGTTTCTCTGCACACACTCCCCCCCCTCCTCCTCTTCGGAGCTTTCATTTACCTCCCTTTCTGTCCCAAAAAACAAAGCGTGCCGGTCCCTGTTTAGATATTTAACTCTGAGGGAAACGCAGGACCCAAAGAGAGCAGGAGAATGGTGCTCCGGTGGTGGAAGCGTGTTGTGTAACTGGCCTCATTTTAGTCAAAGTAAACAAGGATTCAGTCCTGAGGGTGGATAGGAGATGGGCCGTCGGTTAACAAAGAGAGCAAAAGCTCAGGCTTCATTATAGCCGTCTCCCCGTGGCGTGTTTGTGTTTAACCTACTTTAGGCTCTCCACAAGTTTAGCCCTTTTATGTTCTGTCATTTTATATTTCGCTAACTGACACAGAGATACACGCATCGAGCCTTCCAACTAATAGGAGGATGTTGTTTTTTTAATTTAATCTTCTCTCCCTCAGTCTTTTAACGAGATAACGTCATGCGCTGATCCAGACCCTTCCACATTTCAAGTATTTAGGAGCCAACAGAGGCCTTTATCTCTATTAAACCTCCCCTCTGATTTTTTTCTTCCACACACACACGTCCTGTAAGGCCCCATTCAGAGTCGCTGCTGAGACTGGCAGGAATGACAGATAGCCATCAGGGCTTTGTGTGCTTTAATTAAACTACTCAGTGATTTTAGAAAAGCGTTTGAATGCCAATGTTTGCCGGGTGACTCCTATCAGGCTCTTTTTTAATTAGCCCAGGCAGCAGCGGCTCCACTTTGTGCACAGCGGATGGAGTTCTAGAAAAGCTAATAATCAAAAAATAAATGAAAAAAACAAACAAACCCTGAGTGTGTGTTGCTGTCCGTGCATTCGGGCTGTCCGATAGGCTGATTGAAAGTTTTTGTCTGCCTCTATTTGTGTTGACTTGACTGGCAGGTTCACTTATGAGATCGCTCCCGTGTTCGTGTTGATGGAGCAGCTGACTCTGAAGAAGATGATAGAGATGATTGGCTGGCAGGCCGGAGAGGGAGACGGCATCTTCTCACCGGGTCAGTACGTGGAAAATCACAGAATGGATTCAGGCCCAGTGCACGTCTTCTTTTTTTTTCCCTTTCATTTGGATTTCCATATGCTATTTTCTGATCGTCGTGGTGAAATATGTGTGTCTTTCTGCTCTATAGGGGGCGCTATCTCCAACATGTACAGCGTGATGATCGCCCGCTACAAGTATTTCCCCGAAGTCAAGACCAAGGGCATGTCTGCAGCTCCCCGTCTGATCCTTTTCACATCTGAACACGTAAATTCCGATAAAAACACACACACACACCCATTTCAAGATATACTAGTGAAGTAACGGCCATGTTCTACTAGCTATTTATTGATTTAAAGTCTGTTGAGAAACTATAAATTTATTCAAACTAGTGCAAATGTCCTTTTCAGTGACTCCTCTATTCAACACATCTACTTTTGGTTTATTAGATCCTCACACTTGACAGCTTTCGCAGCCATCAGGGCAAAACTCAGTTAGCAACAAGCTCCCCAAAATGCTCAAACGTTTGTGGAACGCCTGTCTTCCACAGAGCCATTACTCCTTCAAAAAGGCCGGGGCCGCTCTGGGCTTCGGGACCGACAACGTGATCCTGCTCAGCACGGATGAAAGGTTCGATCACGGCGGAAAAAAACCTGTGAGACGCTAAAAAAAACAAAAAAACAACACACCGATGACATTTCTGCCTGTTTTCAGAGGCCGAGTCATCCCCGCCGACCTGGAGGCCAAAGTCCTCGACGCCAAACAGAAGGTGGGCGTTTTCTTTCTGGACGTTTCTGTGCGGACTCAGCGTTCCTCTCTTTAACCAACGTGTGTGTGTGTGTGTGTGTGTGTGTGTGTTCAGGGTTACGTGCCGCTGATGGTCAACGCCACGGCCGGATCCACCGTCTACGGCGCCTTCGACCCCATCGGCGAGATCGCCGACATCTGTGAGAAGTACAACCTGTGGCTCCACGTGGACGTGAGTGGCCGGCGCCCCCCCCACCCCAACAAACACACACACACACAGGGCCGCTCTGATGGTCACTCCCCTCTCTCCTCAGGGCGCCTGGGGCGGCGGACTCCTGATGTCCAGGAAGCACCGCCATAAGCTCAGCGGCATCGAGAGGTGAGCGTGTGACCCCCCCGTCTGAGGAGGGAAGAGGAAAGAAAGAAAGAAAATCAGCCAATCGGTCAATCCGCATGTGTGTGTGTGTGTGTTTGCAGGGCCAACTCAGTCACGTGGAACCCTCACAAGATGATGGGCGTCCCTCTGCAGTGTTCGGCTATCCTGGTCAGAGAGAAGGTGCAGCAGAGTTATTTTCTGGATTCCCCCCCCCCCCATTATCACCATAACTTTAACTCAAATTTACCCCGTTCAGTGGTCAGGGAAATGTTGCAGTGAGAGTAAGCTGTGATTTCTGCCTGTGTGTGTGTGTCTGCCTGTGTGTGTGTGTGTCTGTCTATCTGCCTGTCTGTATGTCTGTCTGTATGTCTGTCTGTCTGTGTGTGTGTGTGTGTGTGTGTGTGTGTGTGTGTGTCTCTCTGTCTGTCTGTTTGTGTGTTTGTGTGTGTGTGTGTATCTATCTGTGTGTGTGTGTGTGTCTGTTTGTCTGTCTTTCTGTCTGTCTGTCTGTGTGTGTGTGTGCGTGTGTCTGTGTGTGTCTGTCTCTGTCTGTCTCTCTGTCTGTCTGTTTGTGTTCGTGTGCGTGTGTGTGTGTGTGTGTGTGTGTGTGTAGGGGATCCTGGCCGGCTGTAACTCCATGTGTGCGGGGTACCTGTTCCAACCGGACAAGCAGTACGACGTCACCTACGACACGGGCGACAAGGCCATCCAGTGCGGCCGGCACGTTGACATTTTTAAGTTCTGGCTCATGTGGAAAGCCAAGGTGAGACCGGGTCCTCGTACGGGCTGGTTTTTTTTTTCTTCTGTCATCGCACTAGTCTGACTGGCTGCTTTTTTTCCTGCAGGGCACCATCGGCTTTGAGCAGCACATTGACAAGTGCTTGGACCTCTCTCAGTATCTGTACAACAAGATCAAGAACAGGGAGGGCTATGAGATGGTGTTCGACGGAGTGGTGAGCGTTCCCAAAAGTTTCCGTCCTAAGTCACAGAGGCCGATTGAATATTCTACCTAATGGAAACCATCTTTAAAGGACTAATTAAGGAAAAACAAAAACCCTCTGAACCTTAAACTCTGTGCCTCTGACTCCCTTTGAGGGACAAAGGCGCCCAGAGGCTGTTTCACGTCAATCTGCACCACAGTGATTTATGTTTTAACATTTTTAAACGCTTTTAAAAACAAGTTTGTGGCCTCTTGAAAACACGTTGCTGCACAAAGCTACACACATTTCCGAGATGCGTTGTACTGACAATCGCAAGCATCCAAAGAGGAACATTCTCCTAAATCTCTCACGTTCCTTGAGCAAATACAAAACGAAAAAGAGACTGTTTTTGTAAAAATCACCTGAAAAGGCTAATCTGTGTCTGCTTTACACCTGCAGCCTCAGCACACCAACGTGTGCTTCTGGTACATTCCTCCCAGCTTGAGAGGAATGCCCCACGGCGATGAGAGGCGGGAAAAACTCCACAGGGTAGGATTTGAAATTTTCCGGCAAAACTGATCACTTTAAAAAAATAGTTTTTTTGAGTTTTCATCAGTGCTCGTCTCTGAGTTGTTGTTTTCATTCCGACAGGTTGCTCCAAAGATCAAAGCCATGATGATGGAGTCGGGGACCACCATGGTGGGCTACCAGCCCCAGGGCAATAAAGTCAACTTCTTCCGCATGGTCGTGTCCAACTCGGCGGCCACCCAGTCCGACATCGACTTCCTCATCGATGAGATCGAGAGGCTGGGTCACGACCTGTAGGCCCCCCACGCCAGACCCAACAAACAAAGTCCCGTAATCTCCCGAATTTTACTGGCAAATAACACAGAGGGGAAACATTCACAGTGCCGCAGGCTGAGAAAATGGCGGGACGGTCGATATCTGATATTCAATCCCTGTCGGCCTCTGAAAGCCTTTGCCTGAAACATTCTGAGTGTTTCTCTAGAGTGACCTTCTGTAGACAAAATATATAAACCCTGTCTGAAAACTCCAGGAAGAACAAACGTACTCTAAAGTATGTGCGTGCTGTTAAATGGCTCCATGCGTGTGCGTCAGTCTCTGTGTGTGTGTGTGTGCAATCTAGTAGCTCGTCCGATGACGTGTTTGTCTTTTAATGTTTCTGTGTGCCAGAGTGAGCGAGTGTGAAAGTGCTGAGTCGGGGTAATGGGAAATGCCACCGAACGGCGCGAAACATTCAAAGCATCGGGACGATCTGCTTTATCATACATTTGCTACTCATGACGGAATCACTGGTGCTTTTTAGGTGTACATACAGCCAGTTTGGATAGCAGGGGGTGTTGCCCTGAGAGGTTTTCGTGTCCTCTGCCCACAGAGCCACAGTTTGCAATAATTTTCCTCCCAGAAGATTCTTTGTAAGCCTGTCGTTGATGATGTGCCCCGATACCCCGAGCCTGCGACCAACCTTTGACCTTTGAAACGCTGGTTCGTTGTCTGCTCCGTGCAATCATGCAATGCCCATACCTTAGTATAAGATTGATAGAATATTGATATTTCAGTAGATATGAATAAAATATTTATTGCATTTCCAAATTCAGGTATTTTACTGTAAATGTATCTATGCGTGTATTACATGGTAATACATTTGTAAATGTAATCATAAGAACGTTTATTTATTGTGATTTTGTCTGCCAAAGAAAGAGTCGGGAACAGAGCAATCCATTGTCTTTTGTGTAAAACCTCTTATAGATTATAGGTGTTTGTAAAATGTTGCTATTGAACTTGGAACGCGATGCAATTTCTACGGTTTGTTTATTTCTGTGATTGTGAGTCTTTTTGACCGAATGTTTGAAGATGATTGATTGGCCTTCTGGTGAGCTTAAGAATGAATCTGTATAATCTTCTGGCTGATGCCGGACTTTTGTTTTAGCAAGAAGCACAAGGATGTGAGAATGTACTCTCCTTTGGGGACTGGGAAGAAAGTAACTTAATCTGTGTGAATCCTAACTGTAATATAGTATATTAATTGTAATACATATTACTCGTATTCTCAGTGTTACGGGGACCTGGTGGAATATCTTGTAGAAAGGTTCCTGTTTGTGTCTTTGCACAGTGTTCACCTTTCTTTCTTCCACTGTAAATGGATGTGTATTTAGATATATTTATGGTAAATAGGGACCATATGTGAATGGCACACCTACATAAAAATCATATTAAAGGTAATCTATATATTATGTGTGACCAGTCTGGGTTTTGATGAGGCTGCTTCAAAGTAGCTGCTTTCTGTAGGCACTTTAAGAGAAATATAACATTGTGGGGGGAAAAAAATAAATAAAGTATATTAAAGGAAAAGCTTTGTCTGAATTTTTTAAACAATCACCTACACTGTTACAGTAACGCACTGCTTTGGCTGCTCAAGAATACCATTTGAAAATTAATATTACTTAACACACCCATGTGCTATACATTACTATATGTTCCATATATACTGTATATGTAACATGGCTTTTGCTAGTCCTCTTTCGGTAATCATAAGAAAAGAGTCAGAATTCAGATGTTCTTTATTATTTCTTTAAACCTAACCTGCTCTTCTTTATTTTTTTCTTCTTATCCTTTTACCTTTGTGTTATTTGACCTATGTAGACCTCAAATTAGAAGAATTTAGTCCTAAATATGATATCTGCTGGAGAAGCAAAAGCCCTGGCAGTTTTGGAATAACATTTAATTGGTAAGACGTTTAAATACCAGAGAAGAAGAGTGCGTCTCAGCCTCCACGGTGATTTTGTTCGTTTGGATGCGTCACCACCGCCACCTGGTGGTCACTTTGTGCCATCACAATTCTCTGGAAATACGGATTCTGAATGGGAAAAAAAGAACAAGTTGCTTTAAACTTGTTGCAAGAGGATTAATTTAACCTGGGACATTTTCTAGGACATTCACAGCTGGGAGGATTGACAACTGTATTGCATATTTTACCACTTTTGAACAATCTTTCTCTCTTTGTTTGGACTCCAAATTAGTTTGGGAGTGACCTTCTAACCTTTCAGTGATTGATGATAAGCAACATTTTATTAGGAATTCTTTATGTTTTCTGTCATTTATTCTTCTGGAATCAGTAACGATTAACATACTCCTTGTCTTAATAAGAGTTTCAGTCATATAAGTAAACTTGTAATAATTTCCTAGTCCCATGTCTGAATGAAGGTTTTTCTTTCACCATCAAAGTTAAGATCTAATGTTAATGACACTAATGTAATAACAAGACTAACTGCACTAGCAGAAAATGAATGTGAATATTTTTAAATAAAAATGTTATAAAGGGAACTATGTCACTTCAGAATAAATTAAATGTAAGTATGAAACATGAACCAAAATTCTAAATCTCGAAACTTACAAGTGGCTGCAAACCACTCATATTACGTTTTATTCGTAAAACCAATGTGTAAGGATACTATAATACAATCCCATGCCTTGTTTTTAAACGATTTGGTCCATTTTCTAATGTTAACTAACCATTGCACACCAACAGGAATTTGAAAGCTTCGAAAGGGCGTTATTTCCTGCCACGTAACGGCGCATGCGCACCGCAAAGCTAGTCATTTGGCGACGTGTACCCGGTGTTTGGAAGTGCACAGGTATCTCACTTCTGCCGGGTAACAGGCTGCCAGAGCACCGCAGAAAGCCTCCAAAAAAAGCCAAGCGATGGGAGGATCACAGAGCGTGGAAATACCGGGGGGAGGCTCAGAGGGCTACCACGTTCTCCGGGTGAGTTTTCACAATGTCCAGCCTCCTGTTAGCTGCTAGCTTAGCTTCCGGTCAGAGGCGGAGGAGTCCCACGGCTCGGTTTGTTTACGACAGGCCGGGGATGAGTCTTGCGGCCTGCGTTTGGGAAAACACAACGCCCTGTCGGGGGTAAAGCCGTGTAGTAAAGCGTTGTGTCAGAGTTTTTGTGCCACGTTTTCAAACGTCTCCTCTGTTTTCCCGTTTGCTGAGGGTGCCTGCCACTTGTCAGCATCTGGGATGCTAAAGCTAGCTGTAGCCTGCTGAGTGACAGCTGCCAAGCTGGGTTTAGTGGCAGACCCACAGTAGGACATCCTGCAGCCTTGAATTCTGGCTTGTTTTCTAATTGTTGCAGTGCAGGTTATCAAACCTGAATTACCACAAAGGTTAGGTTGCCACATCCAGCAACGCTGAAGCTAAACGAGGCAAATGTAGTGTCAATAAACGGACAGCTTCTGTCATTTCTGATGGAGCTTCGACCACAGCTTGGGTTGAAGGGGTTTGCTAGTCAGGCCCGTCCTACTTGAAGGGGTTTTCAGCCCAGAATTAGTGAGGTAATTTTCCTGAAATGATGCCGCATGGCTCCTGTTTGTGTGTCAGCCCAAAGCTGAGGTGACCCCCCCCCCTCTGTCCAGGTCCAGGAGAACTCCCCCGGACACCGGGCGGGATTGGAGCCTTTCTTTGACTTCATCGTCTCCATCAACAACACCAGGCTGGTGAGGAGACGTGGGGGTCCGGACGGAGGGGGGCCGTGAGGGCGTCTCCGCCCGAGCTCAGCCCCCCCCTCTCTCTGCTGTGTGTCGCCCCCCCCCCTTGCAGAACAAGGACAACGACACCTTGAAGGACCTGCTCAAAGCCAGCGTGGAGAAGCCCATCAAGATGCTGGTGTACTCCTCCAAAACGCTGGAGCTGCGCGAGTGCACGGTCACCCCCAGCAACCTGTGGGGGGGCCAGGGCCTGCTGGGCGTCTCCATTCGCTTCTGCAGCTTCGAGGGAGCCAACGAGAACGTGTGGCACGTGCTGGTAGGTGGCCGGTTCTCCCCCCCTCCCTCCAGCCCCCCCCCCCCCCCAACCCTGCCTGCGCCCCCCTCCGTCTGTCTCTGCTCCGCCACAGGAAGTGGAGCCCAACTCCCCGGCGGCCCTGGCCGGCCTGCGCCCGCACACTGACTACATCATCGGAGCGGACACAGTCATGAACGAGGTCGGTGACCCCCTCCCCCCCTTCCTTCTCCCTCTTTTTTTTCCCGCCGCCGTATGTCTCACACTTTCTCTCCGCTGCGTCCAGTCGGAGGATTTGTTCTCTCTGATCGAGAGCCACGAGGGGAAGGGCCTGAAGCTCTACGTGTACAACACGGACACCGACAACTGCAGAGAGGTGGTCATCACGCCCAACGGCGCCTGGGGGGGGGAGGGCAGGTAAACGCAGCCACACGGCCTTTTTTTTTTTTGCTTTTGAGGAGCCTAAATCTTAAGGCCCGAGGGTCCAAAATAATTGCTTCCCGTCCCCCGTGCAGCCTGGGATGCGGGATCGGCTACGGATACCTGCACAGAATTCCCACCCGGCCCTTCGAGGAGGGGAAGAAGATCAGCTTCCCCGGAAGCTCCCCCAGTGAGCCCGTCAGCCCGCTCAAAGACGGCTTCACCGAGGTCCAGCTCTCGGCCGTG